AATTAATGTTGGCGGGAGCTGTACAAATAGAATGGGCTATTGGCGGTTGCATGCATGGCTTTTGGCGGAAAGCATTTGTGCATGGCTGTTGGTGTTGGCGAAAAGCACTTGTGCACATGATCTTCACTACTTAATTGCATAAACTTGATCTTGTGTTGTTGAGGCAAAGCATGCGAGGCTGTTGGCGGAAAGCACAAATGCTTTACTAGTGATTTGCTTAACTAGAACTAGTAATCCGGTATGTTAAAACTCGGCTTGAATCGGTACGTGGGCAGCGTTGGATGGCCGTCTTCCGCATCCGTGTTCACGGATTGGTCCTCCTGTTCATGAACGGATGCGGTAGAAAATTTATGGGTCGCCGTTGGAGATGACCTAACCATGTATCTTCCTATAACCTAATAGTCAGGTCATTGCCAACCACAACCGTCCCTTTACAGAAAAAGTCATTTTTTACGCCCCCATGAGACCTTTTCAAAAAGACAAGTCTGTTTGTTTGGCTTCAACGTTCGAGAGGGTGTTATAATGTAGGTACTTATTCCTAAGTAATTTTCGTCAAACTCCCTCCTTAATAAGTATCTTGTATATATATAGTCATTTGCTCAACGAACCCTTACTTTTAATCTGAAGGTCTTCCACACCTAGAACTCCTTGGTCTTTATAGGACGACGGGTCACATGTCACCTGCGAGGTGGTATTTTCATTTATGTTCATCACACTGCCTCTTGTGTTGAATACTGACTCTGAATTATTTTGTGTTCTAATTCAAAAGATGCACAGTCCTCTTGTGTTTTTTTTTTAAAGTAGATATACGGTGGCCTTACGAACGTGACAGGAAAGTTGTGCCAAATTACTAAAGTCAAGTCTAGACGAGATATACAGTAGAAGTATATACCTCTTCTAGTGCTGAGTGCATAACATGATATATTTCGTGCATTACCAGTACTAAACTGCAATTTGTGAACAAGCACTGCGCAATCGAGAAGGTGCATCGAAGAAGATGGAAGACATGGAAGGGTCGCAGGTTGTACTACGTCGGACGATGCGACATCTCAACGGCCGCGTAGCTTGACTAGCTAATTGTATGGTCTCCCGCCAATCTTGAAAACCAGATAGGAGTACATGCCTAGCTACTACGTACTCGTATCTTTCTAAAAGGCCTTGGTGCTTTGGTTAAACGATGGAACTGACGCTGGACACTCGCAAGTTAGATATCCGAGATCTACGCGCTAAACATGTATCTTCACAGCGGTAGAAAAGACCAATGCTTGTACAAATTTAAGATACCAATATATTCTTTTGAAATAACATGTACATGGTTCCAGTTCATAGAAATTCTAAGAACCCGGCTTTCAAACTATGACGACGATGGCGACTATATCGCATGGCAACCCGAAAACGACGACATTTTCTCAGTACAGAGCACATACGGCCAATAAAACAGACAAGCCATGGATGCAAAGCAGCCGGAGAGGGCCGGACCTAGTCACAAGTCTCACAACCGGTGACCCAAGCATCTGGAATTCCATTAGGAAAGCACGGGTGCCCGCAAAATACGTATCTTCACTTTTTTTAGGGGACAATACGTATGTTCACCTGGAAAGATGTTTGTTAGCCCACATCCCCGGTCAGGCCGAGGAGATGCAATTTTGGTCCGTTTGATAGTCATTAGGTACTGTTGGGACTTCATAGCATGATTCTTAAAGTACTATCTAGCTAGGCCTGCTAGAAATGGTCGAATTGACCGTTTGCTAGATCACTATTTTTATCCGGAGCAACCCAGTTAAAAGTCTTTAGAAATCATTTTGTTTCGTTGTGCGAATTGGTCATGCAAGTCTAAATTGATGTGTTTGTTTGACTAATGCAGGTGCATACATTCCTCAACCATATTAGCTGGTCAGCCGAGCCTTATTGAGAAATTAGTCAACCTCTCCGTGATAAGGCGGAATATTCAACTCATAATTGTGTCTGGTGTGCTTTCGTTATGGTATGAATGAGCGTTACCAGTTCTATTTTAACAAAGATAGGGAATCTAACAGTTACTTTGGGTCCGTCGTTACATTTGTACATCCTAACAGAAAATATCAGTATGTTCAGCTTTAGAGGTTATATAATTTAGGTGGTTACTCTTCCAACTGCAACTACGTGGTCTGGAACTATATTCTTGCTGTTGGCACATTCAGGCACCTTGATATTCTTAGTTATTTTTATTCATGCTGAGCTTTTGTGTTACAGCAACAGAACACTTACATGCATAATGAAAGATTTTAGTATTTTGAAATTCGTTGTGCAGTGAAGATTAGTTACGATATTTTCGGTTTCACACTGTTGTTGGTTTTTTTAACGCCTGTAATTTGTTTAAAGGGACATCTTGTATTCTCACAAAACAAATGTTGAGTCTATTGGTGTATGACAGCACACGGTTTCATTTTTGGCAAAATCGGGAGCAGAAGGCTCCTTAATTTTAAAAACATAGGGTGTACAAGCAAAAAATCAATGTGGGCTGATGAGACAAAAACCCATCATTGTATGTTTCCATCTCCGGCCTATGGGTATCCTTCCCAGTAGAAGAGGTTTTGCATTACTCAGTTAGAATTATGATTTTAGTATTTATCGTTCTCTCCACATGCACTATTGGTTATTTAATGGGTCATGTGAAATTTACGCATAATTAGACACCAAAATATTTTTTAGTATAATTCCTTGAATCACACTGTATTGTTGCTATGTTTTGTTCTGTTTCATATTGTCTTGTTTTTCACTTGCGCAATGTTAATTATATGTACAAATTCTATTGTATGTTACTAGCATTTTAGATTTCCTTATTATTACCATTTATTATTTGCTTGAGATTGGCCTAACCTAAACTAGGCAGGCTTCTCATGCATCCATGTTTTTATTGAGATCCCCGCGAGTATTATTCTACCATCTGATGAAAATGGTGATATTAAGAACAATCATCTAAACATTCATGTTTCGTGTCCATTTTTATACAACTTCCTATCACTTGGTCGCTAAAATAGATGGGTGCAGCAATGCGCGCCATCAATGATCTAGTAGGCATTACGTCTATGATATGTAGACTGTTATCCAACTGCATCTACAACTCATACTCCATTCCAAGACCGCTATCCAACATGCATGTCGAAGTATTAACTTTATGACAAACAAAGCATTGCAATAAGCATGATGACATAATGTAGACAGTAAAACTATTATTCAAGTGTGAGAAAGAAACTATCATTTTATCCTTAGTGGCAACAATACAATACATGTCCATTCCCTTTCTGTCACTAGGATGAATCACCGCAAGATTGAACCCACTACTATGCATCATTCCCTCCAGTGAACTACCCATAAATCTTCGTCAAAGACAACAAACAAATAGATCGGAGAACGTACATAGCTACTTAATTATAAAGGAAAGAAATTTCAAAAGATTCAATATGATTACAATCTGATCATAAAGTGACAATTTATCATATCCCAAATAACATGCCGCCGATTACATCATATTGATCTGCAAAATATAGGATTTATAGGCGAAAGAATGTGTGTAAGGCGGTGCCCAAGGAGTCCATGCAGCCTACCCACGCGGGTGCCACCCCCCATCCTGGCAGGTCCCGGCACTTTTTGGACTCCTCGTGTCATGGAAAAATTGTATTAAATCCTTAGGTTTTTTCCATAGATATGGATTTTCTAAAAGGCCAAAAACATGCATAAAACAACAAGTGACTCTGGGCATTGAATTAATAGGTTAGTCCAGAAAAATAATATAAATTATTATAAAAAGTATTGAAAGTGATATTGCTATAATAGCATGAAACAATCAAAACTTATAAATACCTTTGAGATGTATCACTTACATTATTTTAATGAAATTAGAACTAAAATCCAAATCCACTTTTTGCAAGGTATAAGTTTCTTCCCATGTTACCCACGCAATAGCATATCATGGCTATTTAATACACTCAGTTTCTCTACATTATTCTTTTGCTATGATAGCTTATCTGAATGATCAAAGGTGAGAACTAAAGGAGGATGAAAAGAAAAGTAAAAAAAATTATTCTAAGTTAAATCTTTTGTCATATCATCGAAATGTAAATGTTCCCTAATGCAATTTCTTGCTGAACAACCTATATAAACCTAGCAACCTAGCAATTCCAGTCACACAAGAATAATGTGGTAATATGCTAGCAAAGGGAAGACCAAGTTGAGAAGGCAAAGTGCTAGAGTTAACCCATCGGAGCGGGTGAGGGTTTTGTCCCTAGAGTTGTAATCTATGAGAGGGATCTACCTCCTTGCTAGAGAGTCTAAGAGTCCGACAATCACATCCTCAGCTTCACGCAAATTCTAAAATCAACCACTAGTAGAAGATCAAGTGATCTCCAGTGCCTTCACAACTTATTGGTTGCAAATCCACTACATTCGATGTTTTATAGGACTCCAAATGTATAGAGGTATCCAAATTCCAAGAGTAACTGACACGATGAAAACTCGGCAAGTGGGTTATTCTTGGCTTGAAGGTTTCGTTGGCCAGATCATTGGTTTTCTCTTAAATCTCTCTTCTCCGTCACAAAAGACTCGAAGCTTGGGATAGGCAAGAGTGAAGTGCACTCTAGCGAAGGCTGGAACTTTGTGATCCAATCCAATATTACATTTGAGGGGCTTGAAGGGTCAAAATCCTCTTGAGATGCTTGGGTTCAAACACAAGAGTCATGCAAGAACGCTTGGATCCCAAAATACAATACTCATGCAAGAGATACTTCACGGATTCTAAGGCTCCAAAAAACCATTCGACCTAAACTTCAGATTTGTGCAAGTATAGAAGGGACATGAAAATCTTGGATGGATGATTATTAATGTCAACCGAGAAATAGTTATTTCAAATCAACCGAGCTTTGTATGAATGCAGCTCTACTATAGAAAGAGCTGATCTGAGCTCGCGTTGTGATCAACCGCTCGACTTCATTATTTGCAAAATTAATTATTACAAACATATATTAGATGGTGGTGGCACGGTAGAGGTTTGCTGGCAGGCGCAACTCAGCATGTAGCACCAGCGACTTGGCTAGAAAGACGTCGTGCTTCGCCTCACTGAGATCGATTGCTGCCACGCCCGTTGGCTTGCTCCAAGTGAACCCATGTATGAGCCTGCTGAAGAGCATTATGCACATAGCCGTCCCAAGCGATGCAGCTACACACCCGCGACGGCCGGTGCTAAAGGAGATGAACCTCAGCTCATTCTCAGTGAGTGCCACACCACCATCAATGCCAGCGGCCATATTGATGTGACGCTCTGGCTTGAAGCGGAGCGGCTCATCCCAAACCGCAGGGTTTCGACCGAGCCCTATGCGGCTGAGGATAACATGGCTTCCCTTGGGCACGCGGTAGCCAGCGACAGTGGTGTCAGAGAGCGCAACATGTGGCACGTTGAAGGGTGCCACGGGGTGCAACCGGAATGCCTCACGGACACATGCCTTGGCGTAGATGAGCTGTGGGATGTCAGACTCCTGCACCAGCCGCTCCCGACCCACCACACGGTCCATCTCTTCCACTGCCTTTGCCATCACCTCTGGCGCATTCGCCATCTCTGCCAAGGCCCACTCGATGGCATTCGATGGGTTGTCCACCGCCGCAAATGTTATGTCCTGCACAACACCACCATGCATTTGCAGTACGCATGCAACACATTAGTTAGTGAGAGGAGAAAAGCATTTCTCCCGTGCACGGGAGGTCTTGTGCATGGGAGGGCCGTTCATTTTTCTTGGAGATTCGATGTTGTGCGTTAATACTCTTTGTAGTTTGTCAGATCTTCCTCTGACCACATGCAAGCATATCCTTCACCATCCCATGCTTTGTTATTTTATTTCCAAGGTTAAAACTATTTTATCTTTTAAACCAAAAGTACAATTTATGATCCGTTTGCATATTTGTGTTTATGACGAGGAGAACTTTAAAACTATGCCACTTTTGAATGTGTTTCAGCATGTTCTAAAAATAATCAAATTTTAGAACACACTAAAACACTATTTAAAGTACACAAAATTATGAGATACTTTGTCAAACACAATTAAAGTTCAAAGTTTTGTTTGAATAACTCACTGTTGAATTTTTGCATCAAATTAATAAATTTGTATGAAACAAGTTTGAAGCATGGTAGTTTACTTGTTGAAAATATTTCCTAAAAATATATTCAATATTGGTCTTGTTTGAAAGATCTTGTTAGAAAAAACACAATTATGCAAATAGAATGTAAATCAAACTTTTATTTCAACATACAATATGCACCTATTTATTTGGATGAAACTTGGTGAGTAGAATAACATGTGAATGTATGCTAGATGAGAGAGAAAATATTATAGGTGATGTCAGTGGTCCCATATAGTAATAAATAAAGTGGTGGATGCATGCACGGAAGGTCCCGTGCATGATAGAAAATCCTCTCCGAGAGGAGAAAAGTATTTCTCCGGGAGGTCCTTGCATCCTATAGGATGCTTGGGAATGTTTGACGTGACGTGCATGCATGCAACATAAGTAACTTCTTGTTGTAAAAGTGGTTAACGACCGTCGATGGAACTAGCTATACCTGGGACTGCGCTTTGACCTCCTCGAGGGTGAGCAGCGGGTTGCCGTCAGAGTCCTTGAGCGTGATGAGCACGTCCAAGAAATCGTCGATGTCTTTCCTCTCGCCGGACTTCCACCGCCTCCAGCGCTCGTCGATGACCGTGTCGTGCAGCCGGTTGATGGTGGCGTTGGCCTCCTTGACCATCTTCTCGTGTCCGTCGAGGTCGAGGCCGCGCAGCCAGGGGAGGTAGTCGGAGACGCAGAACGCGTAGAGGAGCCCAAGGGAGGTGAACATGGCGTCCATGTGCTCCACCTCCAACGGCCCCGGCCCGCCGTCGTCGTGCAGCCGGGGCTCGCCAAAGTACCGGCTGCCGAAGAGGAGCCGGCGGATGACGTTGCCACAGTAGTGCCTAGAAACATGCCTGACGTCCACCGTGGCGCCGCCTGACGACGACGACGACAATGACCCCTTGGTGATGAGGTTGTGGACGTAGCGGGTGAGGTTGTCGGCCTCGTCGGCGCGGCGGTCGTGCAGCCACCTGTGGCGCGACGGGCAGACGATTTCGGAGGTGAGCACGCGGCGCATCTTCTTCCACTGGTCGCCGAAGGGGGAGAGCACGGCGTTCCGGTAGCCGCCGCTGAAGGTGGCGGAGGCGAAGGTGAGTGGGCGGGAGGCGAAGTTGGCGTCCTGCTTCTTGAGCACCTCGCGGGCGATCTTGGGGCAGGTGATGGAGACGACGTGGACGCTGCCGAGGTGGACGCAGGCGATATCGGTGCCCATTTCTTTCATCATGTGGTGGATCCACCGGAACGCAGGCTTGTTGAGCATCATCTCAGGAAGGTTGCCGACCACCGGCCACGGCACGGGGCCTGGCGGAAGCGGGAGTGGCGTGGCGGCCGACGAGCACGCACCAGCTCCAGCGCCAGCACCACCACCGCATAGGATATTGTGCCTCTTGGGCCTGAGCCTAAGCACGAGGTAAATAACGATTAGCACGAGCAGCACCGCCTTCGCGTCTACGTTGGAGGAGGCCGTCTGCTCCATTGCTAGCTAGCTAGCTCTGAGCAAAAAGAGCTCCGTTTGTGTAGACCCAAAGATCACACTAGTGGCCACGAGATCATGCACAGCATGCACACAAACAATGTACAAGAGCTGATTATATAGAGATACAATGGATGACTTAGTAATAGTAGCTGACGTCACAAGTAGGCATCATCAACATTATGTCATTAAAAAAACTTAATGGTTTTGCTAAATCTAAGTAGTCTGAGTCTAAGTCATGTCTAGCTGAGAAAAGCAGACCACGGTTAGATGTAAGAAAATCCGGATAGTTTTGCTTAAACACATCTAGATGTGTCATAAGTGTTTTAAATCTAAGTTCCATGTCATTGATATTACGCGGAGATTCGTGTGATTTTTTTTTCATTTTAAGCTTGACCAAGTCACTTAAATGTGCAATAATAAAGGCCATCTAGACTAGACAAACCCACTTTACCAAGAGCAAGATTGACACCATCACACCATCAACCTTAGGCTCTGTTTGGTTCAGCTTTTATCGACTGATTTCGCTGCCATGCGGCAGAATCTGAACCAAAGGGCGAACCCAGCAGAATCCGATTCAGAAATCCGCTACCAAAATTTGAACCAAAAGCGGAAGCAGTCTAGGACATGCTTCCCAAAATCTGATTCCGCTGTGGGCCAAAATCTGAAAAAGCTGTATCAGCTGGTTTGCCAAATAACCTACATCTTTTTCACATCAGATTTTCCACAGCTGTTTTTCCATAGCAGATTTTTCACAGCTGCTTTTAGAAATCCACAGCCGAACCAAACAGGGCCTTAGATTCCTCCTTACTAGGTGGTTATCGCTAACACTTGGGTTTGCCAAATGAAGCTAGCTAATGTTGGTTGTTCTATCTACTCAAATTTGAGTAATAATTTGCGTTGGTGCCCTGGTAGGGCGAGAGCAACAATTTATAGATTCTTGCCAGCACCTTGGGTCGGCGAGGTAAATGTTTCTGGCCGTGTGTATGCAACAACGATATTTGGTGTTAGGTTATTCAGATCGATTAAAAAATTCAACGGCAACGACTGCGGCTCCGGGGCGCTTGTCCTAGGGGCACGTGCATCAAGACTTTTCGGCTGCCATCAACAAGGTCGGCCCGGCTCTGGTATGGGAGCGGCGACAGCTGTGCGTCAATGGCTCGTTCTGGTGGCAGCAATGGTCGTTCGGTGATTCATAAACCTCGATGTAATTTTTATTATGTTTGAGGTGCTTTGTACTTTTGGTGAATCTTTATAATAATCTAATCCATTTTGCCAAAAAAAATTATTATTATCTCGTTTGCATTATATTGTTGCGTTCTCGGTGCATGGATGTGCTCAAGGCCCTTATTTTGCACTTTTCAAGTGTTCAGTTCGACCGATGCAGCCTTCGTTCCCATGCATGCATGATCAACGATCCAGCTGCACGGGCATGGTGCAAGTCATGCATGCTGCGTTCGCTTCAGGTTCCAGCTCCGCATGGCCACGTCGATCACCACATGGCCAGAGGCAATGTATCCTAGTAAAAAATGAACACCCTATAACCCCTAAAAGAAAGGGTCTGCGCCATTATACTTGGAAGTTTTTCCATGGTCAGTATGAACATACGCGGAGACTGGACCCGGTCGAAACCTTTGTGTGATGAAACCTTTGTTTTTTTAAATAGGAAGATGATCCCCGGCCTCTGCATCTGGAAAATGCATGCGGCCATTTTATTGATTATTCTTAAGGATCTTATAAAGTATTACAACAATATGTCTAAATCCGCTATCTTAGCAACATATGCCACTACTTTTATTCATATGATGGAGTGCTAACTGGGCCAAATACTCAGACCACTCACCTAAGCCTATCATCAAAAGCCAGAATCCCCAGCCGAGCCACATACCGGGTTTGGGGCATAAACCGGTCTGACGCACTCACATGTGTCGTTCTGCAATCTTCCACGGGTCCGTCTTCAGAGCAGATATTGAGATTTCTACCTTGTCAGGCCACTCTGCCATCGACGCCACCATGACGCCAAACAGCTACCTCCTCCTGCGCGAGTCCATCACCGTGCATCGGACGCCGAGTCTCCACTGCGCCACGCCGCCGAGATCCGCCGTCATCAATGTGTACGATGAAGCACCGCTCCACCAAAAAAGCCGCCCACTGGTCCCTCGATCCCGTGTACGCCTCCAAGAATGACGCCCCCAAGGAGGAAACAACACCAACGCGCTGCCGTCATCTGATCTACTGATTTAGGATTTTCCCCGGAGGTAGCGGATAGAGGTCTGGAGCTTCTCCACGACGATGCCTTCAAGAAGGTAATGACACAAAAGAGTGCCGCCAACGCCGGTCTTGGCATCAAGCTGAGAACTAGGCTTTCACCTGGATCCGCTCGAGGAACCTCCATCAAGTATCATGTGCATGGGTCGCCGGCGACCTGAGCCGCCGCACATCGAGCAGGTCGCACCGGCCAGATCAGATATGCCCGCACATGGCGCCGACCCAACCACCAAGCCCTCCATGCCGCCACCGCCTATCTGAGGTTAG